AAGGAGAGAAATATCTCTGTTATTAATATAAACCTTCCAGCCAAGTTAATTTTCTGTAAATTACGCAGTTAAATTAGCCTCCATCAGCAGCCAGCTCTAGTTATTGTCAGAATAAGAGCGTTTGTGATTTTACCACAAGAGGGCGTGTAAGGTTTTTTTTAATATTTTGCCATTTTGACTCCTGTTCACTAACACTGAGTGAGATTCAAATAAGTAATAGGTATTTACTTCCAAAATATGTTATTACCTTAAGTAATATTGGAGCATGTTGTAGGTAAGAGCAAGTGTCAGTAGGTAAGAGTCAGTAACAGAATAGCTATAGGCTTTGACCAACAGCTTGACCTGAAAATACATCTGCCTCCTGCCACTTCTCAATGCTTGTTCCTCCTGGCATTCATTTTCAAACTTTCCAAAGGTATGTTCTTAAGTGAAAGCAGCTTAACCTTTGGGGGGAATGTTTTAATGCAAACTCTTCATTTCGGAGAAAATTCGGCAACTTTTGCTTAGCTGCCTGGTTTCTAAAATAGACATTTGCAAACTCTGGCCTTAATATTCTGCTGTGCTGTTGCAGAGCTGAAAAAGCACACTCAGTTTGCTGTGCAGCTCTTTGGAAAGCTGCTTTTATTTCTCCTTAAGGCTATGAAGTAACACAATATCCTAAAATGTTACAGGCTGGGCTAAATCCTGTTGTCGCCAGTGCAGACTCACTGACTTCCATGGGAGCTTTGTCTGTATAGGGAGTTCAAGATCAGGCCTTATAAAAATACAACAAGGGTAAAGTTCAACACTTGGTGATATTATTATGGATGGAAAAGAGAGGAAATTAAACAAAAAATCCCATGGAAATCCAAATCACGTGAAAACATTTTAACGTTAGGATTTTCATGTTTTCTTTCTGCAGGGAAGGTCTCACTTTGGTATGTTCATGACAGCCAATGCATACACAGTATCAATAACAAAATGAGCATATCTTATGTCTCCTTCCTATCCCAGTTTAGAAACACTCCTCCCAGTTTGTCCACTTGACCATTTCTAATGATTCAGTAGAGCTCCTGGTATTGGATAGGAAGGTGGCCAGAGGGTTACAGTAGAACTTGAAGACAAGGCAAACGCATGGCATAACCTATGGCTCAAAAGAGGAATGTTAACAAAAAATGTGCAGCATGCAGTACTTTTTCGTCTGAGATTATTAGAACAATAACATGAACCCAACCTAATGGTGTCTGCACTATATATTACAAGTAGCTCTTTATGATTGTTCCCCCTCCCCTTCTCAAACATCCTGATTAGGCCTATTTCCGAAGCTTGTTTGAACAGCCTGTCACTATTTGTTTAAGTTTCAAACCTGTTTTAAATAAACACATGTCCATTTTATGTACTAAAACAAGGCGAGGGGGGGAGGGAAAAATGGCCCGTTGTTGAAAACTATTTTAGCACAAAGAGAACCCTAAACAGAATCTCAACTGTTTCATAAGGTTTGTCTCCTTCTGTAAACCCATGTATTTGTCACTGGATTTTTGTCACCTAAACTTCTCTGTTTAAAATAAGAAAATCTCTGCTAAAACAAATAAGATTAGGAAAATTGCTTGAAACACTTGATGTCCTCTGAAAAGCACTTTTTATAATGAAAGCAAAGGTCCCCTTGGCAAATAGACTGAGGCAAGTTCTGGCTTGGGCAACCTTTCTGGAAGTCTTACACAATTGGAAAGAAAAGGGTTGCAGACCTTGCTTTTAAGATGTACCTGTTCAAAATTTAATGAAAAGTTGCATCCTGGATGTAAAATTGTATCAGGGCAGTTAAAAATTGTATGGAAAAGAACTCTTCATTCAGCAATAAGTTTTCAAAAAGTAATTTCTTAAGAGGCTTTTAATTAAGTCAAACCATGTTGACTGTTTCTGTCAAGCAAGAAAGGTGGAAGTGGGGAAGGGAAAGATGCTGTCACTGAGCTCCTCTTACCACCAAAACACCCGAGATGCCTGCCTCACCTACCTGGGCTTGATTGGCAGGCCAGGAAGATTGCCCCGAGGGCACGACTTGCTGCCATCTTGCCTTTTGAACTATAAGCAGATAGGACATAGCATGTTCCTGGCTGGAGTTCCTGGGATTTGTGGGGAGCCCAGGGCAAAAGTGGAGTTTGTCACCCTTGGAGGATGAGGAGGCATAACAGTGCACTGGGTCAGGGCAGCCTCGAAACAAAGCCTCCAGATTGTGCTACCCTGCTCTTCCACTGCCCCAAATTTGGCAGCTCTGATCCAAGAAACAAGTGTCATCTTTAATTACACAGGCATTCTTTGCTTGTGCATTGAGCCGAGTTTGTTCAGTCTTGGTCCTCTTGCAACTCAGCTTCACCCTGCTTGAGAGGCAAGGCATAGCTTCTCGGCCGCAGAGAAGTATATACTTCCCATAGGCTGAGCCCAGCGAAGCCTTACAGATCTGACAGCTCCTTACTGAAAATACGGAGGGAGAAAGGAGAAGGCAGTTTCAGCCAGGCATTTCTGACTGAGGGGGAGGTGGGGAGAGCAAACACGAGGAAGTAAAGGCTTCCTTTTTCTACCTGAATCAAACAGCTGGTGAGGAAGTGACTTTATTTCCCTCTTTATCACTGAGTTGGCAGGATATCCTCTTGAGCCACATTGTATTGAATGAAGAGCTGGTGAGACTTCCATTTTACTGAACGGGAATTGCCTTGCGGCTATTTTATGCTGCCCTCTCCGTGACTCCAAAACAAACAAACAAACACACACTAGCTCCCGGCTTTTGAAGAAACTTGCCCGAGTCTGAACAAGGCGGGTTTGCCACTGGTATGGGGCAGGAGTGGGAATGGCATAAGGTCCAATACCAAGATTTATCAGCTGAATGACTTTTCCCTCACCCCTGCCTCCATACGAACGACATCAATTCTCATAAAAGCTTTCATTCCCAAATGGTAACTCATTTCAGAAAGAGTTTGGGGAGGGAGGTGGCGGACAGAGCTGGTTAAATTGTCCCATGTTTTCTATGCAGTGAAACCTCATTAAAATGTCATCTTGAAGCTAATGAGAAAAGTTCTTGGAACACAAAAAGTAGACAAACCTGTAGCTGTTCTTTTCCCAAAGAGTTTATGGATCTTTTAGTCAGCCTAGGTCATGACTACATGCAAATAAGGACAGCTCAGACCTTGACCGTGTTGTGCCAAGGTATGGCATTTCATGAGGTTGGTATCTTTAGAGAGGCCAGTATCTTTTTACGCCTGGGAGTGCCAACGTGCTGGCGGTCCAGCCAGGTGCACATTATCGAATTATAATGGGAAGGAAAAGAAGGTGTCATCACACAAGCCCTGCCGGCCACTGGCAGAGAACCTGCCTGGGGAGAGGCTTCGGCACATCCACCCCTCATCAAATCTCCATCTCCCCCACCCTTTACCTGTGGTAGAAATGGGTCTATTTTGAATTCTCTGCTTCCACAATTCCCAATATAGTCTTAGGTCTTCAGCTGATGTGTTAACTGCCAGCTGCATACCCTTTTGTTTCTCCAGTGATATCTGAGGTTTCTGACTTCGGACAAAACTGGTTCTCATCACGGTGGTCTTGCCTAACTT